GAGAGAGGGAGGGAGAGGGAGAGGGAGAGGGAGGGAGAGAGAGGGGGGGGAGGGAGAGAATGATTATCAATTTCAGTTTGAGAATAAGGTTATCTCCCTGAAAATTGAGGAGTGATTCCGATTGATCACGGCTCAATTGGACACCACCAATCACAGCGACCAGGTCCTAGGAGCTTTGTAATCTCAAACGCTGTGAGTGGCTCATGTCCAATTGAGCCGTGTTCAACTGGGTGCCACTCGAAAATTGAGACATGTCAGCTTGTTGCATTAAAAATTGCAAAAGTCGATCTTCCGGCATCTTCAGCACAAATATTATGTTTTATACGTTTCCTAAAGATGAGGAGCTTCATAAAACTTGGCTAAAGGCTTGTGACAAAGATCCGAATTACAAGATTAAACATGGTAAATATACGATATCTGTTATGATCTTATTTTTTATTACAATAATTATAACTAAAATTATTTGCAGAAAGAGTATGCGAACTGCATTTCAAACCATACTGCATTAAAAACAAAATGACAATGCAGTTAAAAGGAAATACACCACGTGTAATACACAGATTGGAGAAAGGATCTGTGCCGACAGAATTGCTAAATGTACCAAAAGCACGACAGAAGTATTTATATTCGTTTAGACAAAACCACACTGACAATGATTCTTTGAAAAAATCAGATCGGTAAGAATTCAGAGTTCTTACGAATACATATCACTTGTTACATAATGCAATTAAATTTAAGAAATTATGTTAAGATAAACGTAATTTACATTAATTCGTTGTGTTAACAGACTCGGCTTACCAACTTATGCGGAGCTTATTACATATGTAAATAATATTGCTGGTAAAGCTATACCTGCCGAATCCATATCTGAAGACAACACTGTGCTCTATAATACAAGAGCAACAGAACAAAAGGAAATGTAATATAATAAAATTATTTATTTCAGCATTATTACTCTTTCTTTTATATGTTTCACATTACAGTAATACTTTTTTGTGCTGTTCTATAATAGTATACTCACCACCACCGAATTTGTGCCATCTACAAACGATGTCATCAGAAATAATGCCATTTTGGATTCTGACATGTCTGTAACGGACAGCAGCATGCTTTATAGTACAATCTGTGGTTCATCAGAATATATACAATCTTATCAAAGTCAAAGTCCACAAAGTCCACAAAGGCCACAAAGGAGGTGATCCCGATTGATCACGGCTTGATTGGACACCACCAATCACAGCGACCGGTGCTTAGGAGCTTTGTAGTCTCAAGCGCTGTGAGTGGCTCGTGTTCAATTGAGCCGTGTCCAACTGGGTGCCACCCCCACAAAGTGTCGATATTGTTTTAGTGCGTATGAAGGAAATGGAAGAAGAGAATCTGCAGTTAAAAGCTATGTTGAAAGCAAAATGTAACACTTGTTGCGCCTGATATACAAGATCGCGCCCGAATAGCAACGCGCACTCCCGAGCCGTAAAAATGAACAGACTCAAGGGGTTTAGGAATAAGAAACAGAAAGTCGTTTATTGAACCACGACAACTCCACGAAATCGTCCGTACAGAAATATCGTATCGTAAAACGTATAATCGGTGGAGAAGCACGTCCGAGCGTTCTGACTGCTCTCCCAAAAATCCCACAGCCGTCTTCTATCAACAACCGCACGGCGTCTTGACAACGTGACACCACGGGTGTCTGTACAACACGGCATATGCGACGGGGCACGAGCATAACACTGCCCTCCCTCTTACAGATTGTCGTCCCGACAATCGGAATTTTTCTTTTTCTTTGAGGCTTAAAAATCGACTTCTATCCGAAGGATCTAAGAGTTCCTTGACCATTTTCTCGCTCCCTAGCCGTGCTGCTGCAATGACTTTTCTTAGAGCCTTGATCTCTTTGGAACTCATCACTTCAAGCCTGAGGCTGCTTTTTTCCTTCCGAGCAGGATCCCTCTTCAGTTCCTCCAGCTAAATCTCCGGAAGAACTCGCTTTGGGCATCCTCTCGTCTTCTTTAGGAAATTTGCTCCTCTTGCCTCTTCTCTTGAGCCTTGCGCACTTCTTTTTTCTTATTTCGGATAAGGGTAGGGAGTTTGGCGTTTCTGCAGTACCTTTGTCCTAAGAAGAACTTTCCCAAGTCTCTGCCTCGGCATTCGCCCAACGTCCTGCGGAAAAACTGCAGATCAAAAACCGCAGGCGAGGCAGTCTTCTAAAAAAATTGTGCTGAGGCTTCTAAAATTTTGTTCGAAGGCGTCCAGTTGTGCACCTTTCTTTTCTTCTAATGATCATATCGGATCATTATCCTTCATAATTCCGGATTACTCTGTTCTACCTCCATATTTAAATCCTGTAACCCATAAAGATATAACGCGCAGTTTCCACCGTAAAACACTCTTACTGACTAAGTGATATTGGGCTCCGATTAATTTATTTATTCCTACTTGTCTTTCAAAATAATGCGCTAGCCTGTCTGTATGAACAACTTTACTTTTATTTTTGTTCGACTTGCGAATGCAGTACACCACGTCGCTAAGTTTCTTTATAACATAATACGGGCCTTCCCAATTACTCTGAAATTTAGGAGTCTTCCCTATCATTTTTCGAGGATTATACAACCACACCTTTTGTTCTTCCTGAAAATAAATTTGCCTAGCCTTTTGGTCGTACCAGGTTTTAGTTCAAGAAGATCTAATATCAACGCGTTTCCTAACGTCCTCATGGATTTCCTGCAATTTCTGTTTAATTTCATTTAAATAATCCCGCGGTGAAAAAACTTCCCCTTCTAATTTAGAAGGATTTCCTCTTAATAAGTCCACTGGCAATCTATAAGGTCCCGAGCAAAATACAGCTGGTGTAACTCCTGTCGTTTCATGCTTCGAAGATCTAAGCTAACAAATACATCGCGATCCAACGATCCCAATCTTTTTGATTTTTGGCCACAAATTTTGCTATATAATTTGAAATTGTTTGATGCTGGCGTTCCACCTGTCCATCTGATTGTGGATGCAAAGCTGTTGTCCTAGTTTTCCTTATCCCTAACAAATTCACCAATTCGTGAAACATTTTCGACTCAAAGTTTCTACCCTGATCTGTATGAACTTTTAAAAGAACCCCATGCCTAGAGATAACCTGATTTAAAAAAATCTCTGAAATAGTTTTGGTCCTTATGCTTCTTAATGAAAAGCCTCCACCCATTTAGTGAAACAATCTGTTATTACAAGTAAATATCTATTTCCTAACGATGTTACTGGAAGAGGACCGAGGATGTCCATTTGTATTCTCTCAAAAGGAGTTCCGACATTGTAAACCTGCAATGGAGATTTTCCTTTCCCAGAGGGACCTTTTTTGCGACACAAACTTTGCATGACTTACACCAATCCTCCACATCCTGCTTACAGGTTGCCCAATAAAATCGTTTTCGAGCCTTTTCCAGAGTCTTATTAATCCCAAAATGACCTCCAGAAGCAGAATCATGAACTTCCTCTAATATTTGCGAAATCCGTCCCCTGGGAACAATTAACTGTAAAATACTTTTCTTTAAACTTGGAGCCTCCCACCTTTTATAAAGAAGACCATCTCTGATTTCAAGGGAATCCTAATACGTCCAGTAAACCTTTGCAGAAGCATCTCGTGATGCGATTTCCCGCCAAGCTGGGCGTTCTTCAGTCCTTACTCAAAAGAAAAATAGAAATATTAGGATCTTATAGTTGTTCCTTTCGCCAAATTTCAGAATTTTCCTCAGATAACGATATTCGAGCGATAAAATTTTCTCGTTTCAAAGCTTCTTTTGCTTCAACTTTTCCACAATACTGACAACTAAAATCTTCACACGGACGCCTAGACAACCCATCCGCATTTCCATGAGCAAGTCCTTTCCGATAGAGCACTTCGAAATCATACGTCTGAAGCCTCTCCAACCAGCGAGCCAGTTGTCCCTCCAAATTATTAAAGGACATTAACCATCTAAGGGAAACGTGATCCGTTCGAACCAAAAATTTCTTTCCATATAAATAGTGATGAAAGAATTTTATTGATTCAACAATTGATAACAATTCACGACGTGTCACGCAATAATTCCTCTCCGCCTTATTGAGGACCCGACTAAAATAAGCAATAACCTTTTCAGTATTCTCTTGTTTTTGTGACAAAACCGCTCCAATTCCGTAACCTGACGCATCAGTATCAAGGATGTACTCTTCCATTTCCCTCGGAAAAGAGAGAATTGGACAAGAGGTTAGAGCCTTCTTTAATTTATCAAAAGAATCTTGATATTTTTCTTCCCAAACAAACTTCGTTTGATTCTCTGTAAGTGTGTAAAGTGGTTTTGCTATGGAAGAAAATCCTTTCACGAACTTGCGATAATAGGAACATAATCCTAAGAAACTTTGCAAATGTTTATTATTGCGCGGAATCGGCCAGTCCCTGACAACCGAAGTTTTTTCAAAATCTGTGGTAATGCCCGCGCTAGACACATTATGCCCCAAATATTTTACTTCTTTTCCAAAGAAAGTACATTTTTTAGGATTTATTTTCAAATTAACTTCTCGCATTCGTAAAAATATAGTTCTTAAATTCGCAATCATTTTTTCAAAATTTTGACTGAAGATAATAACATCATCAAGATAAATTAAATAAATCTTTGAAATAAGTTCTTGAAAAATATGTTCCATTACTCGTTCAAATGTCGCGGGGGCATTACACAAACCAAATGGCATTACCTTGAATTGCTATAAGCCATTTCCTACTGAAAACGCTGTTTTTTCCTTGTCTTCTGACCGAATTTTTATTTGCCAATAACCGCTTTTAAGATCTAATGTGGAAAACTAAGAATTACCTGACAATTGATCCAGAATGTCATTTATCCTTGGAAGAGGGTAAGAATCCTTCTTAGTAACTGCGTTTAATTTACGGTAGTCAATACAGAACCTAATTGATTCGTCCTTCTTTTTTACTAATACAGCAGGTGAAATCCAAGGACTCGAGGATTCCTCTATTACTCCTTTTTCCCTCATATCCTTTATTATCTTATAAACTTCCTCCCTCAAATGAATTGGAATACGTCGTGGAGCTTGTTTGATGGGAAAAGAATCGTTTACATTAATAACATGTTCTGCAATTTCACAATTTCCGGCAATAATCTCTTCTGAAAATACATCCCGAAATTCATTAAGTAATTCAGCAAACATTTGTTTTTAATTTTTATTTAAATTTTTAGAATTTTCCTCAAAAAGCAATTTCAAATTCGATGGAACGTTATAAGAATCAGCAATACAAGAACATTCTATATCTTTCTGCATTTCAATTTCCGTATTGAAGAAAACAGTTTCGAATACATTTTGTAAATTAAACCACCTAAGAAAATCTACTCCTAAAATGCAATCATCGCTAATTTTAGCAACTAGCATAGGAATTTCTTCGAAATAATTCCCAAATCGAACTTTTGTAAATACTTTATGTTCAATTACAACTTTTTCTCCCGTAGGATATTTTAAATTACAATTATTTACTTTGATTTTCAGCTTATTTTGATTAATCAAATTACAATTCAGAATTGATACATCGGAGCCCGTATCTATCTTAAAAATACACCATTTGTTATCCAACTCCCCCTTATAACAAAAATCTCTCAAATGTCGTCCAATCTTATTCTCGCTGAAAGAACGTACATATTCATTAGTAACATTTATTCTAGAAGAACATTCAAATTTATTATTAACAATTTTTGGAGCTTTCCCCTCACGAGTCGAACTCACCCTGCCGAGTTCGACTATTTCTCGTTTTCTATCTTGCCAGGACATTCCGACCGGAAGTGCCCTTCCTTCCCACATTCCCAACACTCTTTTGTCCTTTCATTTCTAATATTTTTTTGATCATTATTATTCTTATTAAATTTATTTTTCGTTTTTCCTTCTTTCTCACTTTGACTATTAAAATTTTTACGTCTTATTTCTTTCTTTTCATCAAAAATAAAATTATTTTTTTTTTTATATAAATATTGAAGTTATATTCTCTCTTTCGCTCAAAACTACTTTCTTGTATTAGTTTAACAGCCCTAGCTCTCTCTACTGCTACTCGCAAAGATGCCACTCCCTCCAATTGAAGAGTTCTTTTTATAAAACCGTCTGACAACGCTGAAACAAATTGAGCACACGCGATTTTGTCTCGAATCAAATGCGTGCACTCTGGATAAGCCAGTTGTGACAATCT